TGTGTGAGCCTTCTGGTGAAAGCATCGTGGGAATATAAGGAAACAAGGACATTGTGTTGCCATCGGCACAGTCCTCACTGTTTTCTCAACAATTCCCCTCTGACAGAATTTTGGTCACAGCTTCTCATATCAGCTGCACGTTACCGTTGAGAGCTCTCTGATATGTTGAGACGACGACACTTCAACCCCAGACTGAGAGTATTTTCAGTCAAGCAGCTCATGTGGAAACATTTCAGATCTCTGACGAGTGGAAAGAAGTTTCTTTCTTAAGATTCTTAGTGGACAAAATCTCTTCATCATTGTTTGTGATTGGACCTCACTTAAAGTCACCAAAGCTGTGAAAGTGAATCCCTGTTCTCCAAGAACACGGCTGTATCCATACATGTAAACTTCATAATCCACTCAGGCCTCTCTGCAACCTTAAACCTGAGAACTTGGAGGCGGTCCACAGCGAGCACAGAGCGTGACGTTCCTTTTCATGCATGTTGCAGTATGTTTTCCACATCCTCAGTCCTGTTCTGGATTGCTCACACTGTTCTTGCTATCACTCTCAGGAGTTAAAATCCTGAGGGAGTCGTGCATCTTTGTTTAAAGTTTCATGACAAGAAGCTGAACTCGGTGAATAGCCGTAGCATGACCACCAGTGACTTCGGCAGAGCACACATCTACTAATCAAGTCATTTTTCCTATGGGAATCGTGAATTCCCATCCAGAATTTTAGGAACATTATGTCAAGTTGTTCTGAAGAGCTGTCACATGAAGTGCATCACAGCAACGTAACCATTTATTGTCGCTCGTTCCGGCACATTGGACTCACTCTGAAAATATCACCCCTTCAGTGCTGAGAATAAAAAAAGACAAAAAAAGGGGCCAAGTTTTCACAGCATCATCACCTTTAACACCTGCTGCAGCATCTCTCTGTGGTTTAGGCTTCTCTGTGCTCCTGCACCGAGTCCTCATTTAAATGCAAGTAGAGATCAACCAGCTCTTTCAGCTAACAAATGGACAAGCACCAACATATATAAGTGAACTTTTACATCCATACATTCCCAGCAGGTCCCTGAGGTCATGTGACCAGGGCTTGCTTGCTGTCCAACACACGAGGCTGAAAACAAAAGGCGACAAAACTTTTGGAACTGTGGCCCCCAGATTGTGGAACTCTCTCCCTTTCAGCCTGAGATCTGTGGACTCAGTGGTCGCTTTTAAAAAACAGCTAAAAACTATTTTTAAACTTGCTTTTGGTTGATTTTTATTTTTAGGTTTTAGCTTCTGTGAAGCACTTTGTGATTTTTATCTTGAAAGGTGCTATATAAATAAAGTTTACTTACTTACTTACAAAAATCCCAAGTTTTACAACAAGCTCAATAAAACGTACTCGTGCACTGGACTGGTGACTATAAACTGTTAAAGCTACGATACTACCTGAACAAAACTGTACACAATATATCTCCAAAAGTCGATTCTGTTCATCTGGACGTAGCGTTTGAACAGAATCAACTTTTGGAGATTTATTTTCCTGGATGATTGAGAATGCATCAAGATGTACACAATATACACCAACCACAATCACACCTTAACAACTTCAAGGCCAGAACAGACAGCTGTGGACTCAGAAGGCTCAAAGACACTTAGGAGAGTGTTAAAAACTCTGGCTTTTTTAAAACTTCGACTTAATCAAAACTTTAATTTAGAGAATAAATGACAGCTGTGACCCCATAAATATGGTTACTGGGCTGTTCTAAAAGTCATCACCTCTAATACACGTGGAACAATAAACAGAGCACAGCAATGCTGTATCCACTGCACTGCAAGGACGCTTCTGAAAAGTGGCAGCAGGCTGTGCTTGAATAACAGCTGCAAACTGGTCCTGGTACCGGGAAAAGAGTATCAACTTTCAACCCAGATTGGATTTTTAATGGATATTTTAACACGTTGTCACATGAAAAGATCTGCAGTCGTAGTTTAAGGAACTAAAACGTTGGTCGAGGTTTATAACGTAAACTCGAAGTCAGTGGAAAAACTCTGATTTGCAGATTCGGCCTTGGCTGTCATTTCTATCCCGTCTTCTGTGTGTCGCTTATTTGTGGTTTTGCTCACTTTTCATGTGCATGTTTGCATTTCAAGTCACTGCTTTGGAAATTTTGGGAAGTTTCCTGAAATGAAAAAAGAGATTTTCCTCCAGCTTGATGAATAATGCATGCCTCTAATGCTGCCAAGGTCAGCTGTTCATTTCCCGTCAGAGCCACCTCAGATATGTTTACCAAATTGTTCTATATGCTAACATATAGAAAAATAAAGACCAGGAAAAAAGATAATGTGTGTTTATCGAAGCGCTTCAGCATAAACATCTCAGTTCAACGAACGCCGTTCCATAAAGTCCAGCAACTGGTTATCTCTGCTGGAGATTTGGCACGGAGACGACTGCAGCACGAATCTCCTGCTTCTGATAAACTGCCTTTTACTCTCCTACCCACTGTCAGGACTTAATTCACTTACTGGCACAACAGCCAACGCCTAAGAAATGTGTGCCACAAAAACAGGATTTTATAAGAACAGGCATATGGCTTTTATTAAGAGCAGTCATCAACTTCCCAAGGCACTTCATTGGACTGGGGGTAAATATTTTTCATTACCTTCTTTTCATTTTAATTGTGCTTCATTAGGGAAAAGCTTCAAACCGCATGGGAATTCTTAAACAGTGAGAAAGAGCGCGTAATGAGCGCAGATGGGGCTGTTTGGAAGTCGTTCGCTGTTTGCGTTGCATGTTGAAGTTACCTACAGTGGAAAGGTGGAGGAGGGAGACGCCAGGTGGTAGCATCATCATCTGGAGGTCTTCAGGGAGGCAACCCTGCTTGTTTTAGTGCAACAAAGAACGGCAGGTGCTTTTAGAGAAAGCACCTCCACTTGACCAGTGGACAGACTGACCCTTCTTCTTTCCTCCTCCTCCTCACATAATGGCCTTTACTCCATTACATTCAGCCGTGAGCAACCGTTATTTTCCTTGAGCTTCTTCCAGACTGCAGTCCTGAACCTTTTCACTTGGACAAGTTTGGCTGCAGCACAAACGCGTGCATTAGGTATCATAAACCTTTTTCCACTCCTATTTGATGCATTGAGCTTACAGCCAGCTGGCAGTAACGTGTACACACCTCTACAGTTCAAATCCACTGGACACATAATGTAAAATCTGGACCAGGATCAGTAGAAAAAAACCCACAATAGTAGTGACAGCGCCAACATATTTTTGGTTGTGTTTGTGATGAAAAAAACAGACAATCTTACTGAGCGTAGGGAAACTTTCATGTGGCTCTTTAAACCAATAGAAAATAAGCAAAGTGCCATACACGAGTGTACGCTCACACACACACACACACACATGTCTGGAGACATTACACATCAAATGAGTCCCATAAGCTGAAGTATTTTTAGAATCCGAGGATATTTTGTTAATTCACGCGGCCTCTCTTCACTCACGCTCGTGCACGCTCGCGTTGCACCAACTGCAGATTGCTGTTAGAAGTCCAAGCAACGCTTCTTCCACCGCCGCACAGGGGCTTCAGAGAAAACAGAGCCCAAATGAAAACAGATGCACTGCTTTTATATTAATCTCACCAGACAGTTGTACTGATGTTATTACCATATTCAGTTTCAATCACAGGCCCTTCAGGATCTGTAAGTGCTGACAACCCTAAAATAATTTTCATTTGACTTCATGCAACAAAGCCATTTTATTAAGATAATATTCCCATCAGACTGACAAGATAATAAAGAGTAATGACAGTGACGGGGCTAGCACTGGAGGGGTTTGTGAGAAAGCCTTTTTTCTTTGTTCTGGTGACATTTATGAAGCAATTTACACCTTTTTACAACAATTATTAGAGTAAATGTTGCAAAATTTAGGACCCAGTTCAGCATGTTCTGGACTATAACCTGGTGAGGTTCTCATGCATTCTGTGTGGTTTAGAAATGAGCTTATTTTACTCTTTTTGGGTTTGATTGGCTTGTGAAATAATAAGATAAGATAAGATTAAGATAAGATAACCTTTATTAGTCCCACACGTGGGAAATTTGTTTTGTCACAGCAGGAAGTGGACAGTGCAAAGGTTATGAAGCAAAAATTAGAATACAATAAGAATAAATACAGTACACAACTGTACAGAATAGAATAAATAAAATACTATATACAGTAGAATAAAATAGAATAAGATATACAATAAGAAAAAAATAGAATACAAATGCTACAACTGAGTAAAACATCAGCCTACTTTTGTGTCTCCTGTTGTTTAAACCCCTAAAGTATGCAAAACTGTAAAAACCTAGTCACACC